GGGCGCGGACCAGCAATCCTGCGTTTGGGTGCCTGTTATTAGTCAGGACGGAATAAGCTAAGGTCGCCACGAAGCCTGCGATATTTCAACGGGAAGCGGTTAAGGGCCGCCAGACGCTCCTCATACGAGAAGTGGGATAAACCGTCCACTCTCTTAGTGGCTCTGCGCCGTACAGTTTCCAGCATGGCCTCGTCCTTCTTCAGGTACGGCGGCTGGACAAGTATGTTGTACTCCAGCAGCGGACGTACTAAAGTGCTATAGAGACGGACAAATCTCTCTAGGGAAAGACCCTAGTGCACGTCCAAGGAGGGCCAGGCGAACGCTAGCCTTTCGCGCCACTGTAGCTATATTGGCGCTCGGGCTCAGGTCGGCGGATATTATGGTCCCCAGGTCGCGTTCCTGGGATGTGGCTTTAAGATGCACACCGCCGATATTGTACGGATTAGCCACACCTTGCCCAATGTGCATGACTTTGCACTTGTCGATGTTAAACGGGAGCGAGTTTTTCGAGGCCCAAGAATAAGCAGCATCGATATCTGTCTGGAGAAGTGCCTGATCACTTGGCCTGCGGATAAGTCGCCATATCTTAGCGTCGTCCGCATAAAGCAGTATGTGGCTGCTGATACAGGATGGGAGGTCGTTGATGAACAAATTGAACAGCAGGGGCCCGAGGATGGATCCCTGGGGCACCCCGGTCGTTGCAGCCAGAGCGCTGGAGAGTGCGCCGTTTACACGAACTCGGTAGGTGCGGCCAGACAGGTAGGTACTTAGGCAGCAGATTGTTTGCTGGTCGATCCCCAAACTCGGCAGTTTACTCAACAGCAGTGCGTGATTGACCCGGTCGAATGCTTTTGAGAAATCCACGTAAACCACATCAGTTGGAGAATGATTGTCTGCCTCTGCAGTCCAGGAATCAAGGGCTGCGAGAAGATTCGGGGTGCACCAGTGAGCCCTGCGGAACCCGTGCTGTTCCGGGGCTAATAAGGACAGACTTTCTAAATGGCAGCGCAAGAAATCGTCTATGATACTCTCCATTACTTTGGAGGCAGTGGGAAGCAGTGCTATCGGGCGATAATTAGAGGGGTTTGTCCTGTCACCACCCTTGTATATCGGCGTTATGACCCCTTGCTTCCAAGCATTCGGGTATTCGGCACTGGTGTAGGAGCGGCTGTACAGTAAGGCAAGCGGCTCGGCCAGTACAGTGGCGCACTCACGTAGAAAAATGGGAGGGATCCCATCCAAACCCGGCGATTTGTCTGTCCTTAATTTTTTTAATTTCTCCAGGACTTTCTCTGATGTAAACTGCACGGGATGTCTGGCAGCGATGGGGGTAAAATTAGCGCCTTACATTGTACTGCGTGCGAAGGTGCCGAAAACGGACTCGGACTGAGTCTTCAGCAATTCCGCAGCTTCTTTATCCGACGTTGTGGTATTGCCTACGGGTCTGAGCAGGCTGCCAACGGCAGCGCGCGATTTAGTGAGAGACGCTATATGCTTAAAGAAGACCTTGGGGTTATCGGCGAAGCTTTTAGCGAGAGAGAGCTGGTGCGCTTTTCTGTCCTGGCGAACAGCTGCTATACAGGAATTTCGCACTCTACAGTATTGTGCTCGCGAATCAGAGTCGCCAAAAAGTAAGAATCTGTCCCAGAGGGCCTTCTTCTTCCTGATCAGCCTAAGCGTAGCAGGCTGAAGTTGCCTGTGGCGTTTCGGCGCATAAGCGCGCACTGTGGGGACGTGTGCCCTAATTGCGTCGTGGATGTGAGCGGCGATGTAGTTCCAATGGTCGTCGACTGTGGGGGTTTGTGCTGCCAGGGACCAGTCGACTCGTGAGAGGAAATCTTTCATCGCGTCATAGCCCGCTCGACGAAAGTTAAGCCTGATGGGCAGTGCTTTAGCGTTGAGCGTGACGTTCGCCACCACACGAAAACTGATAACTGCATGATCACTTGCACCAACTGGGACGCTCAAACTAACGTTGTCAATTAGATGCGGCTCGTTGGTGAGCATCAAGTCGAGTTTCGACGGGTTTTGACCGTCTCGCCACCGAGTGTACTGCTGTACCTGTTCGGTTAGGCCATGTTCTAGAACACTGGCAAGAAACTCAAGGCTGTGCTGACTGCGAGCTTGGCCGGAGGTAAAGTCTATCGCCGGGAAATTAAAGTCACCTGCGACGAGTAGGGGGGCACCCAAATCTGAAGCAGCTGCTCGGAGGGCGGCGTTCCAGAACTGCAGCCATTCTGGCGCAGCTGAGGGAGGGCGATAAACCACTCCAAGGGTGAGACTGGTGGAACCAGAGCCGCGGACGCGAATCCAGAGGGATTCGGGAAGAGATAGTAGTTCCGGAGATTTGAGAGGGACGCATGTGAGGCGGTCTGATACATACACAGCTACGCCTCCGTCTTTGCCGCTTTCAGGATCGTTTCGAAAGAGGACGTATCCCGGGATAGCTACCTCGGCGTCCACAACGTCTGGGCAGAACCAGGTTTCGGTTATACATATAACTTTAGCTTGCGTGTCCAGCGCAAGGGAAGAGATTTCGGACACCTTGTTCCGTAGCGATAAAGCGTTGGTGTACAAGCAGTTCCACGTGCTAACATGAACTGCTGGCGGGCAGTGGCTTGAAGGCATGGGTGATAGGGTAGTTCCAGTATGGTTTACGCCGACCCCACAGGGGCCGGCGCCTACTCGTTTTTTGGTATGTCCACAAGTCGCGTAATAGGTAGTGATGGCGTGGCTCGGCTGAATGGCGTGGAATTACGTCCCTGAATTTGCCTGCATTCCTCCCGTGGTTTGCCTGGATGCATCCTGACTTCGTACGGGAAGTTTACTACGTATCTAGTACCACCGTTGTAGTACAGTCTGGCGCATCTCAGGAGTGAAAAGAATGACCCTGAGCAGTTTAGGCGCCTGTATCTGCGAGAGGTGAGCTGGCCTCGGCAGCCGGTGAACAAACCACGCCCCACAGTTGTCTGCTGATAGGTTAAGCTGCGACCGAATATAGCACCACTGCTGAACATCGTGGCAGGATGATTCAACCGAGTCGGCAGTGTGGAGTTCTGGGACTCCGTGTATAATTATACTGCAAGTTCTATCGTGGTTGGCGCACGTGCTGTTTATACGCGCCTCTCTTTTTGCCTCCCTCACAACCCAGGGAAAGTCTGGCTGGGCGCGGATCTTTGTGTTCAGTTTATTCAAGCAAGCCGATGCCAAGAGCGTTTCCTCGACGTCATCAGCACCTCCAGAGTGACGCGTAACGGTCTTGGGCGTTTGTCACCTGGTGAGCGGGGTGCGCGTAGACGGCAGAGAGAGGGCGAGGAGGTAGGCGGCAGTCCAAGGAGTTGCCGCAAGGATTGCCATTGGGATAGATCGGCACTGGCTCTGTGGGATAGTGACGGGTGGTCGCTCTCGTCCACATTGAACAGTATCAAAGTTTTGCGGTTGAATTCTAGCAAGCCACTGCTCCGAGGCTTATTGGTGCCTTGGCTGCATTGTGAGGGCCTCGGCTGTGTAACATGTGTGAACTGGGGACCTGGGTTCTCCTGCGATTGCATGGCGCACTGAGTGTGCTTGGCGCAGTTTTTAGCACGGTGTTTGTCCCTCGATTGTTTGGGGGGCTGCGACATTTGCACCGTGGGATTTCGACACTGGTTCCTGTGGTCTGCTCACTTGCTGGCGAGTCATCCGTTAGTTCTCGGGTGTTGCTCCCATCCGTAATCAGAAACGGATGCGGGTCGCCTGGAGGAGATGAGCCAAGGATCATAGGTATGGTGTCGTCCAGCTCCTGTTCACCGGAGACTGCTCCTGCAGGCAGAGGGTTGCTTGGACAAACACAGTCGAAGCCTTGAGGTTGTGGTGAAGATGTAACTGAGATGTCGACTGATGCCAAGTCACGAGTATCAACGCCTACGTTTGCTGCTAAAACGCCAGAAGGCAAGTCACAAGTGTCGACGCCTTTAGATGTGGACTTCGTCGAGACTTGCAAATCCATGCAAAAGTTTCTAAGGGCTGCCACATCTAGAGAGCCAATAGGGCTGTTTTTGAAGCCTCTGTGAAGTAACTCTGCGCAGTCATTGCAAACCCACTTAGCTTTGGTATGTGAAGTGTAGTAGTCCACCTCCGGCTGTGTGAGTTTAGCACAGCGCCCGTGGTACTGTCGCTTGCAACAAAGACAGCGAACATGTGGTGGCGACTCGGAGTGACAAACGTAGCATGTACTGTCACGTGCAACTGTTGGCATCGGGACGTTGATCCGATGGTGATTAGAGTGAATACAGTAAACACAGTAAACACACGAGGTACTATAAACGGTTATGTACAAGCAAAACGGCAAGCGAAAATGACCTAATGCAATCAGAACAGCAGATCCGGGTGTAAACAGAGAAAAAAAACCGGAACGGACTCACAGCGGATTCCACTTCACGTTCCTTCGGCAGTAGATGCAAAAACACGACGTAGAGCTAGTAGCAGAGTAAAAATTTCCCACTCAGTCACTCTAGATCACGCTTCCAAGCCAAATTTGAAGGTAGAAATTTCAAGTCAGGTTAAATTCGTTTGTGATTCGAATAAGAGGGGATGACTGCGAATCAAGTTGGCGAATGCCATACAGGCTTTGGCAATGCGGAGGGAAATCTCTTTTCCAACGCTACCATTAGCAGAAACACAGCTTCCCAGGTAAACAAACTTGTCTACTTGTTCAAGCTGCGTACCTTGAAGAGTGAGCACTGGGGCACGTGAATGCCAATCCAGGACCAGGATTTTGCATTTCGTAGGGGCAAAGGTCATTCCATATATATATATATATATATATATATATATATATATATATATATATATATATATATATATATAATCGGCAAAATGCTCACATATTAGAACCAAGTTTGTTCGAGCTATGAGCATGGAACAAAAAGCACAAAATCTCGGCCGATTATCCGCGCTATTGTTCAGCTGACTGGGATCAGCACTTCTGATATGATTCGAACACTGCCAAAATCGATGACGCATAAGCGAAAAGCAGTGCTTGCGCATGGCCAACTAAGCTTATAGTCTCTGATGGTGGTACATTAAGTGGCAAAACTTGTATTTTTTGTCAATGTCCGTGGAAAATAAAAGGCGCTCGCCGGGCAGAACTGGCTCGATGGCGTTGAAAAAGAAGCGCTCACTATCGGTTAAAGCCCGCGTTTCACGAATCGGCATAGGGATCCAGAAACATGCTCCCAAGAAAGTACGCACCTCCCCGTGTTCACCGAGACCTAAAAGCCATGTTGGGAATAAACAGACAGCTAACTGTTCGGCATTAGCTTCACCTCCAGGCGATAACAAGAGCTACGTTGATGGATCATACCAACACAGGAAGAAAGTAACGCTGAAGGGCAAAGATTATCGAGCTGATCATTTGACCAGCAATACCTATGATCCCTTGGAATATGACAAAGGTATTATACCAGCTAGAAACAAAGAGACCTTACATTTATCCGACTTGGAGCTACGAGTGCCACCTACACCGACTAAGATAGATTTACAAGGCTCACCAAGCAGAATGACATTTGATGGTAGTTCGGTATGGACGGTACATAATTTAGCTAATAAGCTGCAATCACCTAAAAAGAAACTTAAAAAGCTTATCCGCTCCGATTTAAGCAAAACCAGAAGAACGGGTTCGAAGATTATCGAGGAAAACAAGGGATCGAAATTATTAGGTTGCAGTCCAATTGATCCCCAATGTTTGCACAGACAGAAGAACAAAGGTAAGAGTACGCTAACGAAGCTCGATTCAGCGGACGTGCAACCTAAACCAAACGAAGATCCAGATGATGCCAGACATCTAGAGACCGAAACAGAGGCGGATCACACAGACACTGCCGGGGTATCATTGGATCTAAAAAACGACTCTTTATTACCCAAACGGTTCGGAAGGTTGATACCCCCATTGAAGCCAAAAATGACATCACCAGAAAACATGAAAAAACCGCATGCTAATGAAAACACAACAAAAACAGAAGCATTTCTAAATGAAGCAGACAGGCGACTGTCTCTAAAACGCGCACATAGCGCAGGGATGGATTGTTGGAATACGCTCAGGGATCAGGTAATACGTTGCACCTCGCCCACGGCTCAAGCAGCAATGAAGCCAAAATCTTTAAAGCGTAAAAACGAAACCATGGACCAAGCTTACAAGAAACCCACAGAATACTCAGAATTAAGAGCGGTGGAGATGGAACACGTTCGTTTTGCCCAAGAAGCGGAAGCGAAGCGGGCCAACATAGGAGATGAGCCACTTGTCTGTTCCTCCGAAACAAAACAGCCTACAAAACGAGGCAGTTTCCAGGCTCCGCTTCACAATTTACTACAAAAGCATGCTCTTCGCAGTCGGAAGCGGAATCTAGAATCCAACATAGAGGACAGCGAAGTACGTGCTCCGCAAGATCATTTGATGAAACAGTCCTCTAAGTTGTTGTATCCGACCGAGAGAAGTACTAACGACAGGGTGAAACGGTTGCTGCGCAACGCACCGAGGACATTGATGAAGAAGCTAAGTTTTGATTCGAAAATAACCGACCCATCGTTAGATGGAACTGTGACAACCCTAGGAAGGCCTGCTGATCCGACCGTACCATCTATGGAAGACCGACGGAACGTGGACCGGCCAGCCAAAGAGAAGACAAGCGCGAAGTACAAATCCCAAGCTACATCTGTTTCAGAGATCGCACCTTTACAACAAAAACGCACTCGGGTCAAACTGCCAGCTGGAGAACATAAGTCAGCTAAGGGAGCGAAATCAGATACAGTGTCATCTGCTAGTTCCCAGCTGTCTTTTGATAGTTCGCTTGACTTTTTGGATGATTACACGGCAGAGTTTACGGTCAACGGACCAAAAAGAAGAGTGGACAGCATTGTCGACCAACTGCGCCAAAACGCCCTCAAACTAATTGAACTAGAACAAGCGTATCGATTTGCCAGGTTGAAAAGATGTTGCAAAGACGACACTGCTTTAAAACGACCAGTCAGTGAAGACAAAAGGACGGAACAAATAGGTGTAACCGCGACGGCGGCCTCGAGAGGTAAAAAGCGCAAAAAGCGCCAAAAAGTGGAAGGAAAACCGGATCATGTGAAAGATGTAGTTCTGACCAACGAATTTTCCGTGAATCCTGCACCGGCACGTTTTATCGTGGAAGACAATCAGGCTGAGGTAGTGGATATTATTGACCAGCAGTTTCAGCAGTCGACGCAGCATACTTATCCAGTGAAAGAATTTGAGACCAAGGAGGAACCTATATGGGATCCAACAGAGAAGATGGTGGGTGAAGAAATTCAGCACAAACAAAGCGCACTCGGCACACCTACCAGGAAGAATGCAGAGAAATCAGACGGAGTTAACGACACGGCAAACAGAGAGAATGAACTGCAACTAGATCATTTCCAGAAAACAGGAGAGCATGAAGGGCTCACACCGGTAGAGGTTCAACCGAAATCCACAAAACAACAGGATGGTAAGGAGGCTCAGGCGTCCTTGCTTGCAGCTTATGGAATCGCACTGCTCGAGGAGCCAGTAAGCGACATACAACTGAGCGAACTCACTGCAACAGGTGGAACATTTGATACACAACATTTGACTGAAGTCAACAGGAAACTGGGTAACCATGATGGGGTTGCAGCTCGAACAGATGGCACTCAGAAGATGGCTAGAACAGCCGATTCCCTTAGTTGGCATCCAGTTAAACAGATCACCGAACATTCAGATTCTGCAGTTATGGAAGAAACAAGCCACATCCGTAATAGCCAAATGAAGTCCAGTAAACAACAGGTTGGTTCGACGGTGGAGAGGTACAAGAAATCGAAAAGCCTGACGCCTAGTACCAAACGCAGTATTGATGACAAATCCAAAGTATCTCCTTCTGAGCAAGTGAAGCATACGCCATCTGCAGATGAAACGCTAGCAAGCACAAGAAACACACTGACCACAACTACTACGGCATCATTTGCGCAAAAAGGAAGCTCGTACACACATCCTGAAAGACGCGATATCCCAGCTACTGTCGTGCCTGACCATTTACTTAAAGTTTCAAAAGGCGTCATGAGCCTGGCTCAAAATGATGTTTCTATGGTAGCGAAGTCACCAAAGCCAATCGATGTGTGGAAGCCCCTATCCGAAAGTGAAAGAGTGAAAATTTGTGAAATCCAACCACCTGAGCCATCCACTGTGTTAACCGACGAAATCATCTATGGTCCATGGGTCAAGTATGACCTAAAGTCATCAAGTAAAGGGCTCTTAAGCAGTGCGATCGTTGAAAGACCTACTTTTCCCTATTCGCCCAATGCTCCCACTCTTCCAGGAGAGACTTGCACCTCAACAGATGACGGATTTAGGGAAATGGAGAAAACAGAAGGGACACTGAACGATTTGTGTCCACTGTTCCACAGCGAAAACGAAGGCAAAACCAACACTCAGGACGTCTCCCTTTTGCAATTTACCACACCACCCGTTCACGAGCAGCTGACCAACGTGCCCATCACCGGACCGACTATGCAAACGGTGGCTAAACTCCATACTGTCACTTCGCCACTGGAAGAACTGAACGCTACCATCCGGAAGCTACCGCGTGACGCAGCTTTGGATCCCCCGTTTATAGAACGGGATCGTCGCAAGCATGCTGCGCGCAAACACCGGCGGTCTGCGAAGAGGACAGATAGAGTGACAGCAATGGCGGGTGAATTGGTCAGTTCCAAAACGCATCAACAAGATACACTAAATAAAGACGATAGCCTCACCAGTAGGTCAGTGGCCGTCGTGGATAAGACGATCTCTCAATACCCAACTCATGGGCGCAGTATAGACTCCCGCACCGATGGTGAGATTCTCGACGTTGAAGTGATTCGCGATCTGCGAGGTAGTCTTCTAACTGAGCCTGTCTTACAGGAGGCAAGACCACTGAGACGTCATTCGGCACCACCTGCACAAGTTGAGTATATTCAAAGTCACCGACCAGACGGTGAGTCAGTGAGACTCAATGAATCAAAATTAACATCAGCCTGGGCAAATGAGAGATCAGCCGGAGACTTGGCAGAGTCAGTCGATATACCCAGTTCTAACAGAATAATTGCTATGACAGAAAAGCCTTCCCGTTTATTGACCATATCACAGTTATCGTTTTCCAAACAAACAAGTGAATACACTCTGGATGCGGAGGATTCTAGCGCATCATCCGCCTATTCATTGAAGCGGGTAGGGGCGACTCAACCACACAGTTTATCTATTCGTAGCCCAACTATTTTAATTCATAGGCGGAAGCTGGAGCCATATGTCTCAAAGAGAATTCAGGTTGGCCGAAGAGAAAAAAGCTACACCAGTCGAGGAGCACAAACACCGCAGCCATATTCCACTAGGAAACAGTACAGTGGACGTCGGAAATGGAGTCTTTTTGGAGAACGACGTTGTGATAAGAAGCATAGAAGTGTTCGCAAATTATCTCACTGGCATCCCTTAAAAAGATGGTCCTCAGCCTCTTCTCCTGAAGATTCGCGCACATGGCGTAGAAGGAGATTGAGCCTGAATGAAAGTTCAACCTCAGTTGACTCTATTGGTCATGGTATTACGGTACAGCGAAAGGGATGGAGCAGGGGAAAAATCATTTCCGTTAACTGGGATACCTCACAAGAGCACCTTGGGGGTCAAGTATCACAGCAGTCTACTCGATCCGAAGGCCTGTCTATGACCCATAATGATAGTCCGCATTCTGGAGTGTCAAACAAATCAACGCAGCCTACTAACAGCTCCTCTCAAACGCAATCACAAGACTCAGCCAAATCTGATCCGAGGTTGCCGAAAAGTGACGACGTAAGTTTAACCATAAGTTTTACAGGAAATCCAGAAAACAGCGCTACGTCACTGTCATCAGAAGGGCTACTGACCCCTTCTCTGGAGCGGATAGTGCTACACACATTCCGATGCGACCGAAGAAAACACGATGATCGTTTATGTCTGTGTCGACGGAGAACCGACTCCCTGGATCGTGACTTTGGTGAAGTCACCTGCAGCTGCTCCCACGATTCTTTGTCACTTTGCTCCCGTATGAGTGACCATTTGTGTAAGTGCCGCGAATCCCAGCATTCTAGTGCACCGAATCTTGACCTACTGGCACCGGTGAGCCATCGATGTTGTGATTCAAACCGCATCTCTAGGGTTGTCAAATTACTTCGGCTTTCACGAAATCTGACAAATTTGTCCAGTCGACTAATGTGTCAAGAGATGAAGCGGTTATTAGCGAGACGGCGTCTCTTGAAGATGAAACTCGCGCAGCAACTTGCATTAGAGGCCTGTCATGCTCGCTGGTAGGAGGACATTGAAGGTGCAGCTCATTATTCCGCCTAGAGAACTCATTTCTTTACTTTATAAAGTTTTTGCTTTTTATCCTTAGACTGAATGTGAGTCGTTCCGTTGAAATCACTGATTTTAGTACATTACTTGATTGTCAGAAATTCTCTCACATACTTGCCATTACGACGATATGGATTACGTTTCTATATACGCATCAACTAGATTCAACTCCAGTAGAATTGCCTTGCTCAACTCATTCAATCGTTTTGTTGCTTTGGAAAAGGAAGGTAGTTGCTCATCGCGAATGGTATGAGCTGATCAAAAGGGCGCTTGCCGAGGTGCAACACAAAGCCCTGTTACATGCACGGAAGAAACGCCGGCTACGGAAGCGACAGGCGCCGATGAAGTCTTCCCCATTCACGTCAAACGCATGGGGTTGTAGCGCATGAAGTCGTGAGTGCGTTAGCCATGCCGGGCTTAGTAAGCCACCAAGGTGGACACGCGAGCCAGCTCCCAAAAGAGGACGAGTTAACCGCTTACATACGCATAATCAGCGCAGCGATTGATAGGTGCGCTGTGTCCGCATCCATCCAATCTACTAACCCAGGCCAATAAGGCGGTTGATTTAGTACATGTGATGCCTCCTCCTTGCGCTTGGTCTGCACATGTGCCTGCGTATTGCGTTTGCTGAGTTTCAGCAGTTGCTTGTTGCTCGATACCCCCGGTGTGGCTGCGCTTGAAATGAATGTTTACAACGCGCCTGCCTGTCTAACTCCCTCTATCTTGATTACTGGTTCCAGGAGACAGTTGGTCGTTGCCGGGCCAGACGTGGCACACGGTCCTCGTGGACCGGCTTCGTTGATGAGACGTGGATACCATGCACACGCCTCACGGTCTCATACATTCGGGTTTATACTGGATATGGGACATATGGACGAATATGTTGGTGGTGCAGCGCAAGCCACCCATGTTACCTCTGTAGGCACAAGCGTACTTTGTCTGTCCACATAGAGGCCGTGGTGATAGGCAAATCCGGAACAGGATGCCGAAAACCAGGTATGTGTAGCTGCGCTGCTTGGATTTCTTTTTGTGCCGCTACATTTTTGGCAGTATGATCGCGTCGCCAATATAAGGAGAAATGATTGACGTCCGTGGATGGGATATGATTATCCGGATAAACAAAGTTCTGTGACTTTAGTCTATGGCGAGTCACAGCCGCCATCTCGCAGTGTTGTTAAGCAAACATTCAGGACTTTTTATTGCGAGGACGTTTGCCAGGCGAAAACACTGTCACCGAACCATTTGCTGGTACGGGATAAAGCCGAACCATCCATCTGGCACGATGGGGAGGTTGTTCGGCTAGTCAGGTGTAGTTCCATCAATGATACCTAGACTTCTGTTTTGCAGCTATTCCGGGACGATCTTATAATGTTTGTAATTCAACATTTGTATCTTTCCTGGTACCTTTTATTTCATCCTTGCCGCCCCATAGCTTTAATGATGACGAACCTGCCAGGTAAACCGAGGGCGCGGATTCGAACCTGCTTAACGACCGGACGACCCTCGCACTATCCTCAGCCCACATGTCATCGGTGATGGTTGCGCGGCAGCGAAGCGTCGGTACTGCCTAGATGCGTACTCCTTCACGGACAACTAGGAAAAAAGTGGACGCCGATTGTCGTGTTTTCATTTTCAGTTTCAAGCAATGTGCTGAACGATTATGATGGACGCAATGGATAATTTGTCACTTAGCTGGCCAATTGTATAGTGAGAACACACATTCAGTTGACATATTCAAAACACAACACACCAGCAAGTCCACGGTAAAGAATAACTGGACGTCCTACGCAGCGGTTGCTTCTAAGGAAACGCCGTCAAAGACACATGTGAGTCCAGTTACCGGAGAGAGCAAAAGCTCGCCACAACTTGGATCGTTATCGCCAGTGCGATCCGCAAATCTATAAAAAACAAAAGAACCTAGTACTCTTAAGTTGCGAACCACAAGGCGGAATCATGATGCCTTAAGTCTTGTGTGCACTAACGTTCCTGAATCCAAATCCAACACAATAAGGGGCAAAATGATAGACGATCGTAGTTAATGGGATTCCATCTGTAGTGCCATCAGCATGCACGCTGAACCCACTACGCTGAGCCGCATCACACGACACCCAAACACCTTACACTATGGTGAACCTCGACTACTTCGAGTAACACTACATTCTGCGGACGAAACGGAATCCATTCTGCTCGCTGCAAATCGACACCACAGAGCATCAAACGGAGTATGTATCTTACCGGATATTCCGTGGAAAGAATGTTCAAAGGACATGAACAATCAACAGGGAAGTAGAAAACACCCGCTGAAAACCGTCATTATTCATGGCGTACCCGAGTCTCAAGCCTCATCTCTTGAAGAAGCTCAGGCACATGCTCTGGAGCAATGGCGATACATAGGTGAGGAGCTGTCTTTAGCAAACCTTATTGCTACCTCCCTGACAATGGAACAATGGAACAATGGTTTATTACGGGTAAAAAAGGATCGCTTAACAAGTCCCGTGGGATGGAAATTATTACGAAAATCAATTGCATGATAAAGTGAAAAGCGCTGTGGTGGACTCACCATGGACTTATGTTGAATAGCGGAGATGTTCGCGTATGAAACGTATAAATCCATAAATCCATTGATTAAGCGTTTGGCAAGACACCGTTTAATTGCGTTTTGTAGCCCCTGGCTGATAAGTCATAAAATGAAATGTAAATGAGACAAAGAATTGTCAACTCGTTTTTTAAAGATTGCCAGATTGGGAGCAGTGACGACATAATTAGGGACAGCGTTACAAGGCTGGCACAGGCGGAGGGAAAATAAATTTCTACCGCATTCAAGCCGACTATACTGTATTTTCAGTTTCAGAAAATGACCTCTTAGTTTAGTGTTGTGGTACAGTTCCAGCAGCGGACGGCAAATGTGGTTTGGGTTCTTCAGAATCTGGTAAACCATTATGAGATCCCCCAGAAAAAGCCGATATCGACTACTGTACATTCTTAGAGATTTCAGTCTAAGCTGATAGGGCAGATGAAAGGTTGCCCTTCGTTGAGGAGTCTCGAGAGCAACAAGATCCTGTTTCTGCCACGGCTGCCACGTCTGAATAACACATTTCACCTGCGGTCGCACGTAGGCGTTAAGCATTTGGGGAAAGATTGAAGATTCAAACCGACCGAAAGCTCTGCGAAGAAGGTCGAAGTGTTGATTGCTGGTGACGCAGATGTATCACTTTGCACTTAGCTAAGTTCAATTGAGGCGTGTTCCTCTTTGACCATTTGTAAATGCAATCTAAGTCATGTTGGAGTATATGGTGAACTTCATTGTCATTAATCGCCCGCCATATCTTGACGTCATCGGGGAAAAGCAGGAAATTTGAGGAGAAAACTCTTGCCATGTCGTTGATAAACACTAGAAATAAGCGCGGTCCCAGCACCGAGGTTTGTGGGACACCACATTCCACTTCAATTGGGTTAGAAAGTGATCCCCTAACACATACTTGAAGCTTCCGTTGGTGAAGGAAGCTGGCAATCCAACCAAGTACAAGATCTCCGATTCCGCAACTCTGTAGCCGTTGAAGTAGGATACAGTGATCCAGGCAGTAGAAACCTTTCGAGAAGTCCAGATAGATGACGTCAACTCCGACCACATCATCGGCCACTTCCGTCCAACTACCTCGTGCAATCAGTAGGTTGGTGGTGCATGACCGGTGTTGGTGGAAGCCATGCTGTTCCGGTACCAAGATGTTGCATTTTTCCAGGTAGTCCATTAAAGCCTCAGCGACGACTGCTTCCATCACCTTCGCGAGCATATGGATGAGAGTCACTGGGCGGTAGTTCGCAGGATCTGAACGGCTACCGCCTTTAAAAATAGGGGTGATGCTGTCACGCTTCCACATAGTGGGAAGTTGTTGTTCATCAAAGCACCTTTGGAAGAACTGTGACAGTGGTTCAGCTAGTTTGGTGGTCGTAGCCTTCAGTGCCTTCCGGCGGATGTGGACTGCCCCCGGAGTACTATTCTCACGCAGTGAGAGTAACTTCCTTAGCACAATTGATGGGTTAAAAAATAACATGTGTAAATAACGGAGTCGGTAATGTGCATGACATTATGGGACAGGTAGAGGCTGCGAGTTCGAAGATTGGAGCGTATTGTAGCCGCAGGGCATTAGCTGGTTCTTCGGCCCTTTGTACTCTACCGCCTGTTGTGAAACGTGGGGGTATTCCATGCTTCACTTTACGAAGCTTATTGACATGCGTATATAGCAGTTTGTTGTTTGCCATGAATTTTTTTGGCTAGGTACTGTTGATAATGAGGCTGGACCTTACCGTGGTGCAATGGTTTGTGTGCCTCAGCGATCCATTGAGCTACGCTGGGTGGTGCTTTTGCACCTTCAGAGTCACTCATGCCAGATTGGTCAATGGTTAGAGGCCAGACAAACTCAGCCTCCTGGTCCTCCAGATTGGGGGTTGGAATGAGGGTGGCACCTTATTCCTTAAAATGGACACCTTGTAGCCCAACGCCAAACCCGCTGCCTTGAGGCCAGGTTTTTGAACCAAAGACTTTGATTGAGAACCCTAATCGTTCTCCTGTCTAGGCCTGGGCAACCTGACAGTATCCTGCGCACGCAATACAATGAATCTCACTCCAAACAAATTGCTGATGCTCTGGCCACCGCAGAGGATAATCAACGGTGCCCTATCTGCTGCATCGAGCAGGGTGGATAGGGGTTTGGATGCTACTGCTCAAGCCTTCCCGTCTTCTTATTCCCCCTCTTACGCTTTTTCACTCTTACCGTCCCCTTCCAACTTCACTTATATCCCCCCAGTTTTCAATCCCCGATTCTTGGCCCTCCCCCAGCATGCTTTGCTAGGCATTTACCTTCTAATTTCAACTCACACGTGAACGCGGAGCGTCACTCCTCTCCTGTCGACAAGCCCATGTCCAACCAAGCGGTCCAATCCAGTTCATCGGCTTCCATTTGCAGTCCTCGATCCTCCTTCAGATTGGCATGCCTCAATGTACGCACACTGCTACAAATCGGTCAACAGGCAGCACTTGCCCGAACATTGGAGACCATCTCGATCGATATCTGCTGCTTATCAGAGACTCGCCTGCAAG